GGAACCGTCCTGATTTGACAGGGAACAGCTATAATAGATTAAGATGCCAGTTATTTGTCAGCAATGCAGATGCTGGAAATGTTGTGCAAATACGTTGATTTCCTGAAACCAATTTGAAGAGAGTTATCTGCAAATGCCGCCACATAGCCATGTAAGAAATTGGCATTACTGTTATGCAGGAGTATGCAGATTATCCCAAATTCTACTGGACGAGTACAATGAGTGTAAGTATTTTCCAGCAGAAGCAAATATGCACAAGCGTCTTAGATAGGAACCGTCTTGATTTGACAGGGAAAAACTATAACAGATTCACATGCCATGTACTTTCCAGCAATGTAGATGCTGGAAGTGTTTTGCAAATACACTGATTTCCTGAAACCACTTTGAAGAGAGTTATCTGCATACGCTAGGACAACGGCATGTCTGAAATCGACATTACTGTTATGCAGGAATAGCCAGATTGAAAACAATAGACTAAAAGGTGTTGCTCCATAGGAGTGATAACAGAGGAATAAATTCGTAAAATTTCAATGTAAAATTATGTAAACCTGATCATTCAAAAGATACACACAAATGCAGGAAATTGTGTGTTAACATTAAGTTAGCACAACTTAATGGCACACAAGTCTAAATTTACAAATCCAATTCGAAAAGGCAAACACTTTTAAAAAACAAACAACGATATTAATTGTACGCGCATAGTCAAACCATCTGAAACAAAGAAACACAACAAAATACATCCGCGACTAATCATTCTTCTCCAGCTTGATTGTCTTCCTAATCTTGTTAGAAGATAATTGTCCATCACAGAATTCCTCTGAGGTTGTTGATTCACTTGACCCCCAGGAAAGTGTCTTTTACCAATATGCATCGTTGGATTCGGGTTATGCTTAGAGGTGATATCGAGATCCTGTTACACATCGAATCAGACAATAGGTTTTATTTCACACCATTCAGACAAAACATACTTATGCAGAAACAGGAAGGGAGTCACCAATTATCGTTTCCTTTACACAATCTTCAGGCGCACCTGTTTTGGCCTCATCCACACTCTCCTTAACCTAAGCATAATATAACAATAATCATTATATGTAATATAAGCATATAACATCAATTATAATATAACATGTGAACAACAAAAAACTGCAATATGGTAAGTACCTGCAGAGGATCAGATGTTATGGAGGGGCCAACAATAACTTCCTTATTATGGCAAACAAAGCATCGTTAGAAAAGCTATGTAATACCCAAATAATCAAACAACCTAAAATACCAGAAACCTGTTAAAAAGATTATACCTCGTCTATGTCCCATAGAGCCTGAAGCTGCCTGATAAAAGGCTCATCCCTAAGGATACTCAATACAGAACAATTGTTCCATCGCGGCCGCCACTTCACCTTAAATGCCATCTCCAAACTCAACAACTGCTCCAGTGCCAATGGGAATTCTAATGGATTATCAATTCCATCCTATACAACAAATCTCAACAATAAGTACCAAAACATTACAAAAATGCATATACTAAGGGGTAGGGAATAAGACACCAAACCTTGATCATAGTATGGCGTAGTTAGGCAGCAGATAAACCCAGAAGAAGCTCACATTCTCTATTCCAAACACAAAGTTACAACTGCTGCCCCCATGGAAAACCTGAATCTTTATCTTGTACCTACAATGCCATAATTAACGAATATAAAAAATACGATGACATAAATACACAAAAATAGCTTTCGCGACCACTATATATACTAAAGGATTCTTAATTAGACATATAGATCTCAACCTCAGTTGAATGACCAACATCACAGTCAAACGGAGGAGTGTCACCACGTGCAATGCAAGGACACAAATGGCAGGCATGGTAACACCACCCAAACGAAGATGCAACCAGAATCCTTGTTTTAGCAACAGTGGTGCAAAATGTAATCTGCATCAATAGGCCATGACATTAATCACAAACTATAAAAAAGAAAAAAGAAGTGACCAACTGTATAGGAAAAAAACAACAACAACAAACAAACTGTATCATACATCACGGAGTTTGATTATTTCACCAAGAGGCAAAACAATAGCACTTGAGAGTAACCTCTGAGCAGGGCTGAGTTGTGTTTTTTCAGAATTTTGTGATGATAGCTGTGAACCCGAACCCACCTTCCTGGAGACAACAACGATAAACTCCTTAGGCATGCTGCATGAATAAGTGAATTAAAAAATTTTCACACAACAACAGCAGAATTCCAACCCATCAACAGATACCAATGAAGTCGTACAGAGAATATACCCGTCTATGAAATCTTTAATCGGAGGAAAACCAGAGTCGAGGCAAGTCAACATGACATTGTAGGTGTTTGTGACCGATAGTGGAAACTTTCCTACACAAACAAAGTCACGAGGCAAGTGTCAGTGGTAAAAAATAAGAAGTCCTATAATAACAAAATTAACCACGCCGTTACCCTCTTGTTTGACTTTTACATACTGCAGCAACAACACAGTTGGGCCAGATGTATTGTCATGATCCTGTTTCAATTTGATAAAGTGTCCGACATACGATTCCCAAAGAGTACAATTCAGAGTGTTGTTGCTAAACAATGAATACATAGAAGCCGGTCAACAAAGGAACCTTATGATTCATTCACATGATATATGAGATAATAACAAAGTCGGAAGCACTGGATTACATACATGTGGTCCCTTAACATCATATTAACCGACAATTATTTTGAACCCGACTGTGTCTGGGAATACCCAATGCTCTCAACCATTCCAATTACGTCTTGCCAAAAAACAAACAAACACCCACATAAGAAAAACAAACACAAGCATGCTATAGAAAAAAAATAATATATCGAATTAAATTAAACGAACAAAAGATAAAATAAAATGTTAGATATTTTTTTACCTATAAGCACATCCCTGTTATAATTACCGCTGATTATATCGGAAAAACCAGTAAATACCAACGATTTCGCAGGGATGTCATGTTTGTTATCATCCCCAGCAGACGTACCTCTCATAAACTTGAGCATAAACCTGTGAGCCGAAGGTCTAAAAGACGAAACATTCAGCTGAACCTTAAAGTTGGACACAATATAAGTATGGCCCAACAATAGTTTTTCATCAAAAACCGACTTATGTGCCACTGGGACAACAACATGTATATCATCGCCCTGCAATGCACACAAAAATAACAGAATTTCAAAAAACCAACAATTCAATACGCGTGGTATAAAAAATCTGCCATAACAACAGAAAATACCAATAGAATTGTGCAAAAAACAGAACAAATGCATAACCACCATGAAACTGCTCGGAGGCAGAGGAAACATATTTTACCGCTTTGTCGATAAAAATCATTTCAAAATGCTCCTTGTTGTTAATCAGCACGTTCCACCGATAATAAACCCTGATTGCAACCTTCCACAACTCTTTACCGTCATTGATGTCGCATATAGCTTCAATTGGCTGTGCCATGTTAAACCGATAGAAAGGAGAAAATCGATAGGAGGGAGAAGAGGAAAAAACGCTAGGGTTTGAGAGGGGGGTGAAGCTGTAACAAAAATTAAGAGAATGAAAGATTATATTGAATGGCAACCATGATGTTTTTGGAACGATTGAATAGCAGTTACAAAATTCACAATGAATATGAAAAGTTGGAGAGGGAGTGAAACGAACAGTGAACATGGAAAGTTGGATAAGGAAGGATACGTACAACAAGGAGAGAGGTCAGACAAGAAAATGAAATATGGAATAGAGAGCAAAGAATATATCCACGTGGTGTGATATTGGAACAAAAGGACAAAATTGATAATTTGGATAGAATGAATCTTCTTATATTATAGATTTTTTAATATTTATTTTCATTAAGTTTCAATTTTTTTATAATACCAAATAAAAATCTGTTTATTATACTTAATATAACTATAATACTTAAAAAATTAATAATTCTTTTTAATACCAATTCGATCGATTGAATTTCTATATAACTTTATTAGTTCATTGTTCAATCTAATTAATTACCTCGCTCTTATCCTCCATCCTTAATTTAAATGTGAGTTTCTATAATTTTAAAAACACAATTTTTTATATTATTATATTGTTAAATTTAGAAATATTTTTCTGTTAAAATGACAAATATTTTCTTATAAATTTATTTCTACAATATATTTTTCAATACATGTATAATTTGTAGAAGGCCGTATACTTCCATGTAGGTAAGATCTTTTGATACTTTTAACTTACTTGATAATGTAATTAATTTGTATTTTTGTATTCATTTCATCCTAAATTATATGATATTTTGATCATATAATAAAATATTTATATATCTAAAAAGAATCTTCTAAAAAGTCTTAAGGGTAAATAAATTATTTTCTTTATAGTTCAAATACAATTTTTTTTGTTATTATGTAAAAAGTAAAAGCAAACAAAACAACAACACCTAATCCAAACATGGGTTAGTTAACTGTGTTAACATATATAAAGTTGAAAATAACACCCACGTGACCACAATCTAGTACACATTTGTTTGTGTCTTTGTCCTAACTAATTCTAAGACAAAAACAATCATCATCATCACCAAATAAAAACCAAACCCATGTCTTTTATTTTCATTATTTTTCTCAAAAAAACACAATAAAACAAAAAGACACAGATTTCGTTAGAGAGAGAAAAACCTCGATCCAAATTGTTCTTCTAAACAAGCTTCCAAATTCCAACCATATTCAATAATCTCTACATTGCAACCACTCTCATGTTACTTTTTTGATTGAAAGCTAAGTTTTTTTTCCCTTTTTTTTTGATGTAACAAAGTGTGCATGTGAAGACAAAGACAATACCTATAGAGTGTTCCTTAAACACACAGCAAAATTCCATGTTTCTGATTGTTGAAAGCATACACTCCTTTCAATCATCATTGTATTCCCATTTGGTGGGGCTTCTGAGATCTCATTATCTCAAATGTAGGTTCAATTAGGGCTCTTAAGATCTTCTATTCTATATAAATGGCTTTGTTCCGCAAGTTCTTTTATAAGAAACCCCCTGATGGCCTTCTTGAAATCACTGAAAGGGTTTATGGTACGTTTCTTCTCTGCTCTTTTTGTGTTAATGTCAACAATGTTGGCTTCTGTCGAGTCTAAAAATTGCATCTTTAGGCTTTTTGTGTTAATGGATTATGCTATGTTTAGCTTATTTTTTGAGTGAATAATAGGAATTGTATAGTTTTGTTTTGAATTGTAATACTAGTTGTTCAATTCAATCAGCTGTTTACATCTTAGTGCATGCTTGGATTGATAGTGATAGCGAGCTTCGCGAAAATACCTTGTGCTACCGCGATTTTGAGCTACACTTTGTTTTACTTCATGTGTATTTGGTAGTGATTATTTTGTTGTTTCATTTGTAGTGTTTGATTACTGTTTTACGACGGAAGTTATGGACGAAAGCGAGTACAAAGGGTATATAGGAGGAATAATTAGGCAAATTGGCGAGCATTTCCCCGACGCTTCTTTTATGGTGTTCAACATGAGGGAAGGAGAGCACCAAAGTCATATATCGAACATTTTATGCGACTATGACATGACTGTGATGGACTATCCTAGACAGTATGAAGGTTGCCCGTTACTTACAATGGAAATGATTCATCATTTCTTGAGATCGGGTGAAAATTGGCTTCAACTTGGGCAACAAAATATTGTATTGATGCATTGCGAACGAGGTGGGTGGCCGGTTTTAGCGTTTATGCTGGCTTCACTCTTGATTTATAGAAAAATGTTTACAGGGGAACAGAAAACGTTGGATATGATATATAAGCAAGCGCCTCGGGAACTTTTGCAGTTGATGTCACCGTTGAATCCCTTACCTTCACAATTGAGGTATCTTCAATACATATCAAGGAGAAATGTTGGTTCCGAATGGCCTCCTTTGGACAGGGCGCTTACGTTGGATTGTGTAATTATAAGACAAATTCCTAATATGGATGGAGACGGTGGTTGCCGTCCTATTTTTAGGATATACGGACAGGACCCTTTTATTCCCGCGGATCGGACTCCCAAAGTTCTCTTCTCTACTCCAAAAAAGAGCAAACTTGTTCGGTACTTTAAACAGGTGATACTTAATTCTTTTTACTATATTGAGCTGTATCATGAATTGTGAATCCCACGGCTTCATCATCTCGAGTCACGACGATGAAGCCAGAGGGTTCTTGAATAGTAAACTTGTTGTTTTCCGCAATGTTCTTAAATCAATTTTATTTTTTCGGTTCGTATTTGTTACAGGCTGATTGTGAACTTGTGAAGATTGACATACATTGTCATGTTCAAGGCGATGTTGTACTTGAGTGTATTAGTTTGGAAAGTGATTTGGAACGTGAACAAATGATGTTCCGTGTGATGTTTAATACAGCATTCATAAGATCAAATATTTTGATGCTCAACCGCGATGAAATCGACATGTTATGGAATGCTAAAGATCACTTCCCAAAAAATTTCAGAGTAGAGGTATTTATCTATCTATCTCTATATCTGTTTCTATTTTTATATGTTATGGTTAGCGATAATGCCAAGTTAACGAAATATATGTTGCGTTTCTGGTTGAAGGTTCTTTTCTCAGATATGGATACTTCTTCGTCTTCTGTTATTTCAGTCGATCTTCCTCCTCCTCGTCTGGAGGAGAAAGAAGGTCTACCTGTTGAAGCATTTGATAAAGTTAAGGAAATTTTTAGCCATGTTGATTGGCTTGATCCGAAGACAGATGTAGCAAATATGCTCCAACAGATCACGTCATCGAATATCCTTCTTGAAAGATTGGACAGTGGAGCTTCTTCTGGTTCACCAAACACCGTGCTAAACGAGTCATTTTCCGGAAGATTAAAATTTGATTCCAAGACACAAAACGAAACGAGCAGTCTGAAATCTTCTGATCACGAGGAACTTCCGGAGTCTCCATTGCAGTCATCTGAAGATGCTACCGAGGAAAAAATGCTTGAACCGAAATTGTCATCAGAAGAGAAAATCAAGAGTCCTGCGAGTTTAGGTCAAGCGGTCCAGCCTATTCCTTCATTTGATCTGTCAAAAGATTCAGTTTCTGCTAAAATCGAGACTGAATCATCAGAGTCAAAACAATCATTGAAAAAGGATCTCAAATTTCCTACTTCTACGGCTCAGGTGGAGCAATCTATCCCATTAAAAGAACCATCAATAGATGCAAAGTCAACGGAGAAAAAGAATGGGTCGTTGGAATCTGAGGAAAAGAATATTGTCTCATTAGCATCAAAGGAGGCGGCGTTGAAAAAGGACGTCATGTTTCCTGCATCGGAATCTTCTACTGTTGCAACCCCGGTGAAAAATATTAGACTGCCGGGATCGGTTGCAACCCCGGTGAAAAATATTAGACTGCCGGGATCGAAAGAAAAGGAGGTTGAATCATTAGACTCAGAGGCTCGGTTGAAAAATGATAGCAGACCTAAAGTTGAACCAAAGACTCAGCCAAAAGTTTCAGTACCGTCGTTTGAATCATTTGGTGATGCTACCTTGGAAAAGAAGAAAGAACACTTAGATATAATTGATCAGGGGAAACAACATATTCCCTCAATTGGACTCCCAAAAGATTCAGATCTTACTGAATTGAAGATTGAATCGTTAAAATCAAAGGCACCGGTGGAAAATGATACCAAGTTTCCTATGTCTACGGCTCAAGGGAAACAATCTATTCCATTAGTTGAGCCATCTGCGAAAGCGAATTCATTGGAACAGACGATGGAGAAATTGAAGTCAAAGAAAAATGATACTGAATCACTAGAATCAAATGCTACCAAGTTTCCTATGCCTACGGCTCAAGGGAAACAATCTATTCCGTTAGATGAACCATCTGCCGAAGCGGATTCAGTGGAACAGACAATGGAGAAATTAAAGTCGAAGAAAAGGGATACCGAATCATTAGAATTGAAAGATACCAAGTTTCCTATGTCTACAGCTCAAGGGAAACAATTTATTCCGTTAGTTGAACCATCCGCGAAAGCGAATTCAATGGAACAGACGGTGGAGAAATTAAAGTCAAAGAAAAAGGATACTGAGTCATTTGAATCGAATGATACCAAGTTTCCTACGTCTACGGCTCAAGGGAAACAATCTACTCCCTTGATTGCACCATCCACGGAAGCAGATTCAACGGAACAGACGATGGAGAAATTGAAGTCAAAGAAAAAGGATACTGAATCATTAGAATCAAAGTCATTGTTGGAAAATGATACCAAGTTTCCTATGTCTGTGGCTCTAGGGAGGCAATCTATTCCCTCAATTGAACCATCCACGGAATCAGATTCAACGAAACAGACGGTGGAGAAGTTAAAGTCAAAGAAAAAGGATACTGAATCATTAGAATCAAAGTCATTTTTGCAAAATGATACCAAGGGGGAACAATCAATTCTTGTAATTAAAAAGTCGATGGATTCAAGTTCAACGAAAACAATGATTGAAAAATCAGAAACCCCAGCGTTGTCAGAAAATGATATCAAGAGTCATATATCGATGGTTCATAAGAAACAAACTAGTCCCTTAGTTGAACCCGGCGTTGATGCAAAATCAATTAAAAAGAAGATTGATCCTCAAGAATTGCAGGTTTCTCTTCAGCTACCTACACAATCTAAAATAATTTCTCCAAGGATGCATCAAGCTATTCGACCAGCTTCAGCTTCAGCTTCTTATTCTTCTAGCTCACTGCTAGGTTCACCTGTAGCTATCTCAAGGTATCACAGTGCACCATCGGCTCTCGGAATAACAAGCGTGTTGCAAGATCATACACCGATGGATAGCAAAGAAGAACTCACTCATGCAGCGACGATATCTCCTCCTTCAGATTCAAAGGCGCCAAAATCTGTAGAGTCTTGTTCTACATGCATTCCTGCAGCATCAACATCCCCGGCATTGCTTCCATCTTCGCTGTTAAAGTCTTCAGTGGGTCCTCCTTCTGCTGTCGAGAAGACTATTAAGCCACTCGTCCCTATTCCTCCTCCACCTCCGCCGCCACCTCCTCAACAAGAACTTACTTCAAATTTGACGCAATCTACAATTACTGTCACACAATACAGTGAAAATTCAATGCACGATAAAAACCGGATACCATTGGCTCCTCCTCCTCCTCCTCCTTCTCCCCCTTCTTCGTCCCTCGCTGAAACATCTCTTTCCACTGTCAAAGATTCATCGAAAGGTCCTCCTCCCCCACCTCCACCACCATTTCTATCTTCAACTGCACAAACTTCATCGTCGTCAATACCTCCTCCTCCCGTTCCTCCTCCACAAAGTACAAACACGTCCATTTCTATGTCTGGCCCTCCTCCTCCACCTCCACCTCCAAGACAATCTGGCACGACACCATTAGCGCCACCACCACCTCCTCCTCCTATTTCTGCATCCCAAAATTCTCAGTCTAGAAGCCCTCCAAATGTTCCCCCTCCACCTCCTTCTGCCAATGGGTTATCAAAACCTGGCAGTGCCTCACCACAGTCTCATGCAGTTCCGAGACCACCCGGAAATGCACCTCCGGCTCCCGGACCTCCTGGAAGCGTGCCTCCAATTCCCGGACCACCTTCTGGCGCATTTGGTGCAAAGGGACGTGGAATGTTGCGAGCTAATTCGAAAACTCAGACTAAAAGAAGCAACCTGAAACCTTACCATTGGTTAAAGTTAACAAGGGCCATGCACGGTAGCTTGTGGGCCGAGACTCAGAAACTCGATGAAGCTAGTAGGTACGAATTATGTGTTAAGAATTTCGTCACTAAGTAATAACATATGAGCTTATTTACTTACCCTCTTGTTTTAACTTTTTGGTGTTAGGGCTCCAGAGTTCGACATGACAGAGCTTGAGAGTCTTTTTTCAGCTGCCACTCCGAGTTCTAATAATGATAAAGGAGGAAAATCAAATCGTCGTTCAGGGCAAAAACCCGACAAAGTTCAAATAGTATGTTTTTCTTTTCAATTTTATTCACATTTGCCTGGTGCAAGTTGCCAGGGCGTAATGTTTTTGAGTTCTTCTTGATAGAATATTCATGTCATCTTGCAGATTGAACTCAGACGGGCGTATAACTGTGAAATTATGCTTACAAAAGTCAAAATTCCATTGCCTGATTTAATGGTGAGGCATTCCTTCCTAACTAAAAATCTCAAATTCGTAAATATTCAATATTGTTAGAAAAGCATTTCTTGTTTTTTTCTCCGACTAACAAATATTTTCTCACGTGCTTTACTTATACCATTGTTTTCAGAGTAATGTTCTCGCATTGGACGATTCCGTGTTATATGTTGATCAGGTTGAGAACCTTATAAAGTTCTGTCCGACTAAAGAAGAGATGGACCAGCTCAAGGTATCAAATCCTTTGAACCTCATGTCGTGAGGCTAGCATTGATAACTTTGCAACAGTATATTTTTATTTAAACCGTAATCACTCTCTTTACGCAGGCCTACACAGGAGATACGGAAAACTTGGGGAAGTGCGAACAGGTGAATGAATAATCACAGCATGCCTAAGCTGTAATCACTATCTAAGCTGTAATCATTCTTATTTGTTTTTCTTTTTTCATTTTGTGATAGTTCTTTTTAGAACTAATGAAAGTTCCAAGAGTGGAAAGCAAGCTAAGAGTTTTCTGTTTTAAGATGCAATTCTGCTCCCAGGTCAGAAAACAACCGAGCTATACTTTCGGTTATTAAATATTTCTGTTTTCTTACCTTTAGTAATTTAGCTACCTCGGTGCACTTTGTTATTTTTGTAGGTTTCAGACCTCAAAAGGGACTTGAATATTGTAAATTCTGCATCCGAACAGGTAAATCATTTATATTTTTCTTTTAACTATTCTCCGAGCTTAATTTTGATACATTGTCGGTGTAAAAAGTTTTACAATGTCCGCAAACCACAACCATCATTTTCATTGTTTTGTGTATCAGATAAGAAATTCCATCAAATTGAAAAGAATCATGCAGACCATTCTTTCTCTTGGTAATGCTTTGAACCATGGAACCGCAAGAGGTGAGTTGAAGCTTTTTAGCATTTGCGGTTTGACTATCACAAAGCATATCTTTATAGATACACGTACAAAGCTTTTTAGTCTTAATTGATTTCCTAATATGTAATTTATTGGATTACCGTAGGTGCTGCGGTTGGGTTTCGGTTAGATAGTCTTCTTAAACTCACTGATACACGAGCCCGAAACAACAAAATGACCCTCATGCATTATCTTTGTAAGGTAAGACTCATTTTCCTTACATTCCAATATGAAATGTTTCTGCACTAGAAGTTAACATCTTCATTCCATAGTGTTGTATTCATATAATAACTGTTTATATGATTTATAGGTGCTTGCTGAAAAGCTTCCGGAACTTTTAGATTTCCCTAAAGACCTAGTCAGTTTGGAGGCTTCAACCAAGGTATTGTTGTTTATTTTACTGTTATATAAGAAGGTTCGAGTTTATTCTCATTTCGATTTTGGTGTATGCCGAGTTACAAGAATTTTTTTGCATACAGCTACAATTGAAATATTTGGCAGAAGAAATGCAAGCTATTAGTAAAGGACTGGAGAAAGTAATTCAAGAACTGTCTGCATCAGAAAACGACGGGCCCGTGTCAGAATACTTCTGCCAGGTAGTACAATCTATAGCATGTTATTTTAATGCTTCTATCTGATTGCAACTTATGATCAAGCATTTAGCCTTGACTTTTTTTTCACTCGGTAATGTTCAGATTCTGAAAGAATTTCTTAGTCACGCGGAAGCTGAAGTGAGGTCTTTGGCTCAGCTTTATGCGAATGTGGTATGGATTTGGTTCTTTCCTCTTTAGCATAGTGTTTCCGTAAACGGTAAATTCAAGATATGACAAGAAACATGTCTGAAATTCTGAATCTGAATGCACCAGGGTAGAAATGCAGATGCATTGGCGCTATACTTCGGAGAAGATCCGGCACGTTGCCCGTTCGAACAAGGTAAATAGCTATGTTGTAAAGAAAAACATTATTTCACAATAAACACACCATTGAGATTCTTTCTTTTGTGGTTTTCTTATTTTGCCTCCATCTATAGTTGTATCTACACTGTTGAACTTTGTGAGGATGTTCATCCGAGCACACGACGAAAATTGCAAGCAGGTTGAATATGAAAAGAAGAAAGCAGATAAGGAAGCTGCAGAAAATGAAAAATTGAAGGTAGCTGCGAGAAACGAGTCTAAACCTATGATGAGGACCACCATCAAGAGCGGTGATGTTAAATAATCACATTATTTTACAAGGCCTCGAGCTTCTAAAGATTTTCTGTACAATGTAGTTTTGAAGCCCGTAAAGAAAATCGTGTTCTCGGCAATAGCAATGTAAATGCTGATCTAATGCTGTGTTTTCTTTAACATAAGATAGAGTAGTTTTTAACTTTTATTTAGAGGCACCGATACTGAATTTTTTTCAGTTTATGCTCCATTGCTACACGAACTGATGAAGACAAATGCTTTGTAAATATCAAGCTATTGCTTAGAATACAAGTTACAAATTTTAGTGAGTCATTTTCTTTTGTCTAGACTTTATTTACATTCTAACCGAACTCTGAAATATCAAGAAACTTCATTCGTTCCATTATTCTGAAAGATTCAAATTGAGATTTGGACCTTGTCGCTTTGTTGACTAGCAATAGTTTGTGCGACTGCTTTAGCTAATACTGCATTGAGGTTAGGATCTTTGATTAGCGAACTTGTAAATTCTTCGATCTTGATATGCTTTTCACATCTTAGCTTTTGTTGCATAACATCATCACAAATTCTAGTGTATATGGTTTCTTTGCCATTTAGTATTGTTGATGATTTATTATTAGTAGATATTGATGAATCATTAAGTATGGACGATGAAAGATGGTTTGAATGACTCATCAGAGACACCATGGCTGTGTTCTCCATCATAAGTTGCAACAATGATAAGCATTTTTGCACCTAAATAAAATTAGTCATTGAAGTAAAGTTAAAGTATCTTTAAACTTTTAAACATACATAAAATAAGTTTGTGAATTAATGGTAAAAAGTGGTTATCTGAAGAAGATGAAGTTTGAAAAAATTTAGAGATTATGAAAGAGAGAGAGAGTGAATAATTGAGGAGAAATGAGGGAGTATATATAGGATACAAAGCTAAACAAGTTGGAACCTCAACATACCCATAAAACAGCAAAACAACACAAAAACCGCGTTGGAAATCGATTTCCCAAAACAAGGAATCGATTTCGTGATCTCAAAATTGCAAATCCAGAAAAATCTCAACTGTGGAAATCGATTACCCATTTTTTGGTAATCGATTTCCTCTGCGAAAATTTCAAATTTTTGCTTTTCAGAAGTGCTTCTCAAATAAGGTGTTTCGACGTGATGCTTCTCAAAGCTTCTATATTGCATTTGAATTATTCTAAACTTCCAATACACCACCTTAATTCAAATGCTCCAAGTTCTTCATATCCAAACTCACCACAAGCTTCTTGAACACCACATTTCTTACCCCTTTCGTTAACAAATTTTTAAGTTGTTCTTCGATTCGACAATATCCTAACCTCAGCTGGCCTGCACACACCAGTTCCATCAAGTAATGAAATCTCATCTCGATATGCTTGCTCCTCCCATGTGCTATGGGATTCCTTGCAAGATTGATGACTGAAATATTGTCAACCAAGAGTGTGACAACTTCTTCAACATTGTTGCCCCACTCTTTCAGTAGATTCACAAGCCACACAACCTGACACGCACACATCAATGCAACAATATACCTGGCCTCAAGAGAGGAGAGTGTCACCACATGTTCCTTTTTAGAGAACCAAGAGATTGGAGCTCTGTTGAACATAAAGACATAACCAGTCGTAGACTTTCAATCATCCTTTTCTATGCACCAATTAGAATCCGTGTAACCGAGTAACTCACATTTTTTTTGCTCGTATCAGCTGCGAGAAAGAGTATTCCACAACCAAGAGTTCCTTTGATGTATCTTAGGATCCTATTAACAGCTGTCAAGTGAGACATCTTTGGTCTCTCCATGAATCTACTTGCAATACCGAAACTAAACGACCATAACACCATAACCACTCCCGACCTTGCGACCTCATCAACCACACATGTTTCCAGTTTACTTTCATTCATCTCTACACCCATACCATCTCAACCCATCTCTACCTTCTCCTCCCACTTGTCTCATTGTTACCACAAATCATCACATCTCAACCTCCATAAGAAATTCCTATTGTTTAAGATTGTTAGTTCTGTTGTTTTAGGATTGGCTTAATTTTTGTAAAACAAATAATAGCAGCAATAATATAATGTAGAATAGGATGTATAAACTTGCTAAGAAGAACAGGTACACCAAGAAGTCCTATTACAATGTCTGAATATGTTGTGTTGAACTTTTTCAACAACTGGAACAACATGTCGAAGAAGATGTCTTGATATTACGCCTGCTGAGCTGGATTAATGAGTATCAGTTTGTTCTTAACATAAGCACAATGTTTAGGAGAATATTATGCATCCTATGTGGCGCATATTTAAAGGTTTAGAAAATTCAATCAGAAATCAAGGAGAATGAAGACTTTCTAAATAAGGAGATTATTTAGGAAAGAACAAATTGAAGATCTTTCTTAAGGAAAAAATTTCTGCAGTTTGTTACAACTGATTTGCTGTGGTTGAAGGCCCAAAACCGGTTGGGTAACATGTTATAAATAGAAGGATTTGTAACCTAGAAAAGATACGACTCAAGATGTAGAATTCTAAGGGTTTTGTCAAGGTAAACCTTCTGGGTTGTGGAAAGGTTACCATGTTCATCTCAAAGCCTGTAGGTAAGAGATGCATTATTCTTGGAGGAAGATTTGAAGAAACTCCAGGATGTGTTAGGAGCAAAACCAACAAATAGTGGAGTTTAACTTAGAAACTTAGCTAGGTTGCCATGGAAGTATGTCTTCCAAACTGTTTATCTGTGTGATCAGAATCTTGGTGAAGGGCTGTTTATGCAGTGACTGAGATGTTGACTGCTAGACATCATTGTGATGATTGGAAGTGGGATGTGTATATTCCATATCTAGGGACGACCTAGGTAGAAGGGTCATTGGGTAGTGATTAAGTGCGTAGATCATCAATGGGTGTGTTGGCTGTAGGGTATGCAAATTGATACTACTGATAGTGGACTTCATTCCTGGCTTGGTAGCCCATAGAGTAGGTGTTATTGTATACTGAACTGGGTAAATAATTCTAGTGTGTCCTTTATTTTTTCAGTACTGTTTTATCTTGCCTGTGTGCTTATGTCAGATCAGTTATCTCGATATCCTTGTAGGACATCTAAGTCTGTTGTGCTAGAATTTCAATTGGTATCAGAGCAGGCATCCTATTCTGCTCTGGGTGAGATCCTATGAAGATACTTTCTGGTCATGGGAAAGGAAGAAAATATTTACTAAAAAGAGGTATGAACTTGGACAATTTGTACTATTGTATGGATGATATCTTGGCAAGGATCAGTAGTAGTGTTCCTGGGTGTTGCCATCAGGCCTGCAACTTAGTGTGAAACTGCTGTTTGTAGGGTTTATTTTTTTAATCCTAGGTTTCCATGTTTGTACTTAGATAGTGGCGTGTCTGAATATTGTCGAGGAGTTCGTTATATTCCGCTACATGTAACCCTGGAAGTATGATAAGGATACTAGGGTTGTTACCCTCAACATAATATATACTGACATTTTCAACCGTATTAAAAGTGTCAAAGATACTTGAGATTTTCCTCAAGTCCACTCATAAAGACATTTATCAATAAGGTTGACGAGAATCAATTGATCAATGATGCTCATATACACCTACATATTGATCTTGAAGACTGTCAAGGATGGTGTGTTCCAAGAAGAAGGAACTGATGTTCTATGGGATGTTAGAATATTACTCCAGCAGGTATGCAACTACCATTTGAAGAACAAATGCTTTGGGTGCTAAACAAAAATATTATGAATACTTTTTGTTTGGAACCTACTCTTGATCTGGAAGAGGAGGCATCTGATTTGTGCAGGTTGATTAGCACACAATCAATAGTTTATCTACTCTATGTGTCAGGCTTATGGGTGTATAAAGGTTGAGCTCTATGCTCTTGAGAAGAACTCATAAAGGAATCTCCACAAGACCCTTTATGTATATGAGATGAGCTCGTATCTGGAAGATCCTTCTGATTAAAGGAACCAGATTCATGGAATCCTGTTTGTGACCATAGAACAAATTTGTTTGAAGAGGAGTATTATGATCCAACTACAGTGTTTGATACTCCTGAGTATTGTTTTGATTTCCCTTGAGGAAGAGAATTTGTAATTCTCTTTGTGTACCCTTAAAAGTTGTTGAAAAAGATCCCATTGTCAAGGGTTGATATGATGTCAAACAGAATGTTGTGATATCTTTGAAGATGTTAAAACTTTAAGGGCATTGTTTTTAAAGAATCAAGGGAAACAAATGCTTTGAAATTTTTTTTTGTCATGCCTAGCAGAGTCTGTTCCAGAGATCTAATAGAGGGAATTTCCTTTGTAGGTACATACAATGGCATCCATCATCTCAAAGTCAGACATGAGGTCTAAAGAAAAGCTTATTTAGATGTGGCTCGTGCAATCCCCTTCATATGTTGGTAGTCTGATCCTGAAAATTGATCAGTTGTTGTTGGTTTGCTTCCTTGTGTTAACCCCCACAAGAGTTGATTATAAGTTACTATGGAATTTACCCCTAGAACCATAGTAAGAATGGATGATGTCGTATCTGATGTCGGGACATCATCTCTAGGTGCGTGCTTCCTTTAAAAAGGAAGTTGTTGTGTAGATCATGACGTGAGTATTGTTGTTCACCAGTGAAGTTTAAAGTTGGAATGTTTGATCATAATAGAGCTGAAGACCAGTCTCTGACCAAGTCTAGATTTTTGAAAGGATCCTCTTATGTTGAACGGCGAAGAAGAAGGATGTCAGTTCAAGTGCTCTAACATCTGTTGAAAAGGAGAATCATCTACAGTTGTGCATGCTACTGATGATAAATATTTTCTTTTTACATTTTGAGACGTGTTTCAACTTTGCGCACGTTTATTTAATTTCGTATTTTTACTATTATTGTATCTATTTACTGGGTGTAATAGATAAAAATTAGGATATTTACTGCTTTATCCCCCTTTATCCTTGTATAATGTAAATCCCCTCCCCGAAGCATTGTAATAACGTAGATTTAAATTCCTGCACTTTAATATTATGCAATATATTAACTGTTAGTAACTAGGTTTGTATGACAAAACTGAAATTAAACGTTAGCAAACTTAACAAAAAGACAAAAAAAAATAATTGAACATAACACACTTGCACATATACACCTCTAAGGTACGCCCACTTTGGTTGCCTTTAAAAAACAGTCATGAGGCAGGAACGCTTTAGAAAAGACCCGTAAATCAAAAAGATCATAGTCCCTCAATGACCCTACAATTACCTTCTCGGTAAATGATCTAGTCCCTAAAACAGAATTGCTAAAGCGTCTCCACAAGTTGCCTTCGTGACTGTAACGTCCCTCCAATTGTCCCTCAAAATATCCAACGACAAGGCTACCTACTCCCTAATAGTAGGATAGCACTGTCTAAAGGAAAAGATGAAAAGAACAACCTTTTCGAGTATAAAAGTAGATAGATGTTAGAAGTTTGCTGAAACATTTTTGCACTTACATAAAAACTAGTTTTCAAAAGACATTTCAAAACACTTTGTATATTTTCTCCACTACCCCGAGAAACATTATAAAGTTCGCCGTACTAAGGCATTTTCAAAACATTTTCAAACACACAAAGCACAAAGGTATTTCAAAATGAGCAAACCTCTAAGAGCCCGTGGAAGACCACAGATGGAAAGGGTGATAACACCTTCCCTTTCCATAATCTACCCCCCTTACTC